ATAACCTAACAGTGGATACACGTTATACAATGGGCGAAATCCACAAAACGTACAACACCAAGTAACCCTAATGTAAATTCTAGACTTTGGTTGATAATATGTGATAGTGATATTATAATAATAATGATACGGGCTCCTGGATTATGACAAAGGTACTCCTCTGTGCAGAATGTTGACGGGGAGGAAGTCGGAGAGTACACGAAAATTGTACTTGCAGCTTAATTTTGCTGTGGATCTAAGACTGCTCTAGAAAATAGCCCATCAACTTCTTAAAAAGAAAAAAAATGTTAATTGTTTTATTTAAAACAATTTTTTAATTTTTTAAAAACAAATTAAAAAATGTCTGAACAGCCGAACATATACACATAGGGAACTGCATATCGCACTTCCAGCTTCCATCGAAACATCACTTCTGGTGGTTCTTGCTGCAATCAGGCGAAGATGTGCATGCTGGGTCTCACCTGGGAACAGTCCCCATGTGGCTGGCAGACTGCTTCCCATGCATCACCTGCCTGGCCCTTGAAAGCACTGGGCGTTTGAGATTTGGTCTAGGTCACTGCTTCTCAACTGGGGGCAACTACATCTGGGGACATTTCTGGTTGTCACAACTGGCTGTCACATTCTGGTTGTCACAACTAGATGCTACCAGCATCTAGTAGGCTGAGCCACAGGAATGCTGTGATATATCTTGAAATGCCTGGGATGGCCCCCACCACAGAGAATGATCTGGCCCTCACTGTCACTTGTGCGGAGACCTGGGCGACACTGTTTACACAGAACTGGTTCTCATCTGGGGAACTTAAAAAAGACATACTGACACTGGTAACGTGCACAGTGATTCTAATTTAAGTGGAAGGGTGCTGCGGGAACAAGAGGGTTCTGAAAAGCTCCCCAGGTGAGTTTAATGTGGAGGTATATTTGAGAACCACTGGTCTGGAAGGTTCTTGGGATAGGTCAAGGCTTAAAAGGATCCAGGACGGTCATTCATTCGTTCAACCATGCAGCCGACATCCACTGCTTTTTCTTCTCTTCTTGGATAGAACTAGGGAAACCGGAGGTGAGCCAGATCTTCTCCTCCCGGCCGTATTAAGGAGCTCCAGGTTCTAATAAGGACCTCCTGCCTCTTTTAGTCCATCCTTCCTTAAATGTTATACAGATTCTGATTCAGCAGGTCTGGGGGTGGGGGGAGGGTGGGCTGGCATTCTGCATTTCTTAACCAGCTCCCAGGGGCCACAGATGCCGTTCATCTGAGGACCACACTCTAAGCTCTGTCCTCATTCAGGATTCTCACGAAAGCCTGACCCAGAAAATGCCTGCGTCTCAGGAAACACATCCTCCCACGGCCTTACAAATAATTTTAACTACTCTCCCAAGTGCCTTAGACCCTACTACGGACAAAGTTCTCAATACATCTTTACAATAGCCTGGCAGAAGAGTTTGGGATTATGTTCCGACGAGACTCTTTCCTAGATGAGTGAGCTGAACCTCACGGAGGTGCAGACACCAGCCTGGTATTCAGTGGTAGAGGCTGACTCCTAATTCAGAGATTTTCCCTAAAAGCCAGCGTGGCTCTCAGTTCCACAGGTGTGCTACCTGTGCCACTGCCCAGGACCCTGTGTTCAGAAGGGTCCCACATTCACTTTAGCGCTGCTGTCACCATCTTGAAATTCTGACTTTCTGAGTGAGGGGCCCTGCAGATTCTGTGGCCGCTCCTGCAGTCAGCACACAGATTCTAAGAAACCTTTGTAGAGGCTCAGCAGGAACAACAAACAGGGTGGGGTGGGGTGGGGGGCTAACAGCTAAGCCCAACTCCTCCAGTTTCTAAAGGGAAGCAAGTACCTCAGAGCAATTGGAGTGAGTCTTGGGGTCCAGGAGACCTGGGTTTAAGTCCCAAGGCTGCATCTACCAGCCATGGGACTACAGGTTGGGTATGTAAATTAGCTTAGCCACTATTTCCTACTTCCTCAGTTGCAAACCGAGGGCATGTGAACTGGGCAGGGGTTTCTCAATCTTGAAGGCATGCAGGAATCACTGGGGAGGGGACCCTGAAACATAAGCATGCAGGGATGGCCCTATCCCAAATATTCTGATTTGGTTTGTCTGGAGTGGAAGTGAGATGGGGGGGTTAAGAGCCCCCACGAGCCCCTAATATAAGCAGGTTATGAACCACTGAAACTTCCCCATCTTCAGGGACCTTCAGGCTCCAGTACCTCTAGTTCAGATGACTTATTCACTCTGGCAGAAATTTCTAGACCCCCCTGCATACTCCCGGCCAGCCTGAAGACCTCTTTCCTCCAGACATTTGTGTCCTACATCCCTCTGAAGTGCCAGCCCTCCACAGTTTAAGATTTCCCAAGGTGTGCTAGGTTCTGTACTTGCCCAGGGATTGGCATGAGCCACCAAAATCTGTCTTGGACAGGAAATGCAGTCCTGTGCCCGTGCTAAGACAACACAAAGCTTATTTTGCTTTGCAAAGTAACTGATCTGCAGAATAGCTTTTAAAGAATAGGCTCTGGCTTGTGGACGGGCAAAAATAAAACAGAACAAAAACACTTGGCAAGCAGAATATGATCCTATTTGCATAAAATCGTGCTTTACCATCTCTAACTACAGGGTTATAAACGCATGGAATAGAGGTCTGGAAGGGCCGGCAAAACCTCAACTGTAATGATCTTTTTTCCTTTCTGTTTCTCAGCTTGATTTTTAAAAAAACAAAGAAGCACCTATTTTTATAATCTGGGGGGGGGGAGCTATTTCAGTCCTGAGAGAAGAATATAGAGGAATTTACATCTAAGTGCGAGAAACAGTCACAAAGTTTCCGGATGATCAATCCCTTTTCTAAAGCTAAATTCTCTAGTCCCTGTCGTTGGCTGGTGTGCTATAACAGTTAAAACGCTAGGAGATGAACAAGAAACATTCAGTGAGCCTTATCTAAAAATAGACCACACTCTAAGGAGTCTATTTACCATCATCTAAAAAAAAAAAAAAAAAAAGCTTTTAAAAAACCCCAAGAAGCAGAGTCTTTCTTCCCTTTTGCGATTCTCCGCGGTGGGGTGGAGGGGACGGTCTGGAGCTGGCTGGGTTAGCTAACCCCAAATCACCCTGCCCTAGGGCAGATCCTGCTCTGTAAGTGGAAAGGATCCGCGCCACGGCTGGAAGAATTCCCGCCGGGCGCGGGAGACCCAGCTTCGCTCTGTCGGAGGACAGGGGGGGACTGGGAGGAGGAGGAGGGGAGATTGCCGGAGAGAGCCGAGGGCCGCAGAGCAGCGGGGGCACCGGTGTCAGTTTCTCTGAACCGGATTACTGCCCCCAGCACTGCCGGTCCTTATATAGACACTGAGCCGCTCCGGCTCCGCGCGCCAAGGGCAGGGAGGGCGGTCACGACTGCGGGCGGCCAGGACATCTGGACTGACGGGCAGCACCGACCCCAGCTTGCGCTTTCACCACGACCTATGCCGCTTGCCCAAATTCATGCGACCCTGCCGGAACCCCTGACCTTCTCTTCCAGCTCCCTCCCGAGCACCTGTTCCCCCTCTTCTATACAATTGCATTCCTCTCCTGCCATCCAGCCCTCATCCGCTCCCACTCCCCCAGCCCCACCACCCAGGGGGCTTCTCTCCTTGCCCTCCCTCGTCTTCCCCCCGCCGCCCCCCGCCCACTCCTTGTGGAAGAACAGCACGATCCCAGCACCTGCGGCTCCCCCGAAGCAGTCCCTGGTACTGTGACCCGCCATGATCTAGAGCTTCTCCCTCCTCGCGACCCGCAGGTTTACCCCCACCCCCCGCCCCGCGATGCCAGCCCCCGCGGACTGCTGGCTCTGGCTCACCTGGCTCATACTTGAGGTAGAGAATGGAGACGATGAAGTAGCTGAGGTCGAAGACTGGGAAGAGCGGCACCCGCGAGAAGCTGAGCGCTAGCTCACCGAGGCTCAGCGCCGAGAGCAGCTCCATGGCGCCCACCCGGTCCCACCCCAGCCCCCGGCCCAGTACGTCCCGCAGCCCGCCGCCGGGTGACTGCGCCCCCGCCGCAGGAACCGCCCCCGCCCGCCAGGCACCGCCCCCAACCCGGCCCCCGCGGGAGAGGAGGGACAACCGCTGGCCCCGGGGCGGGTCGTGGGACCGTCCTGTCCCATAAAGCCCAGTAGGGTGTCCCATACTCCGTCCCTCGGGCCATCACGACCCCCTTCAGCCCAGCGAGGTAGGGTGTAGGGGTGTCCCTGTGGTGTGAGTTGGACAGGGTAGCTCTCCATGGAGGGGGGGTTCTTCCCGCACGGAACTCACCCAGAGGGACGGGTCGGTCAGGCCCCTGTCCTGGTGGGACTCAATTAGGACCCATGTCCTCTGGAGCCTTGGATCGGGACCTGCATCCTCTGTGGGTCTCGACAAGTGGTGAACCCCATCTTCCCGTGCCCTAGAGTGTCAAGACCCCCGTCCTCTATGGAGCTTTCATGACCCTAGTCCTCTGTTGGGCTCTGTAAGTCATGACCTCCATTCCCCACCAGGAACCCTGTTCTCCAAAGGGACAGCTCGCTCGGACCTCCGCACCCTCGTTAACTCCTGCCTAGGGGGGAATCCCTGCCTTCCATTGGGCTCAGGAGGAACCTCCTCCCCGCGGGAAACCATGCCCGGGAGTCCACTACATCAGCACCCATTCCCCTGCGCAGCTCAGTGGTCAGGAGGCCGGGTTTCTCCAGAAGCTGCCTGGGAGACCCCAGCCCAGAAGGAAAAGCTACGGCGCTAATTCTGCAGCGCGCAGGGGTCTCACCGCTGCGCCACACGCCTCCAGTGCGTAACCCAATCTCGCCTGGGTTGGTGCCAGTTTTGGGTGACGCCACACTCTCGCCCCGCCCTTTCTTCGCTACCCTCTGGGCCTCCCTAGCGAGAAGGGGCGCTAGTTTTTTCCTAAAGGGGCCTGGCCTGTAGGGGGCGGGAGCCTGCCTGCCTTGGCCTTCGATTGGACCAGCCCTCGCCAGCGAAGCTTCGAGATTGGTCGGCTCGTGCTCTTCTCTCCTCCCCTTCCAGGACTTCCGCTTCCGGTTCTGACGGACGCTTCGGCCGTAACGATGATCGGGGACATCCTGCTGTTTGGGTAATTAGGGGGGGCCAGAAGCTGGGGTGAGAAGGGTGAGAGGGACGAGGGGCAGCCCAGGTAACCTAATTCTCCTTCGCAGGACGCTGCTGATGAACGCAGGGGCAGTGCTCAACTTTAAGCTGTGAGTAGGCCGCTTTGGATCGCGGCTCCACCCAGGGGACCCGTAGCCCCGCCCCCGCGAGCGTGAGCCCGCCCCACACCGTAGGCCACGCCCCTAAGGCCCAGCTTTCCCTCTCTCCACGCCTCCAGCCTCGTCCATCCTCCTTTGACCCTGTGCTGCACGGTGGCTTGAAATACAGACTGCCTCGTTTCCCAGGGATCTTTCTTCTCGCATCCCGGAGAGCCTCCCGCCCGTCCCCTCGCCCCCCCCCCCCCGCTTTTAGCCCTATTCTGTACTCACGGACCAACTCTACACCTTGGTGGCTGCAGGCCTGTGATTGGCAGGTAGATGATGATCCAGAAAGGGGCCTCCAACCACCTGAGGTCACACAGCAGCTCAGCTGGAGGGATAGAGCTGAAACTGTCCGAGGCCCTCTGAGCTGGGGTTCAGCGCCAGGGGATCGAGTGGTCTTTATGTCCCATGGAAAGTGGACACTGTCTGTTCCTCTTTGTAGGAAAAAGAAGGACACGCAGAGCTTTGGGGAGGAGTCGAGGGAGCCCAGCACAGGTAAGGCCTCCTTTCTGGACTCGGAAATCGGTCCAGTTCAGAGAGGACAATTTTTTACTCAGCCAAGCCCTACCTTAGTCTTTCCAGTTAGGGTGTGTGTGGGTTGGGGGTTGTTGAGAGAGAGAGAGAGAAGTGGGGCTGAAGATGTGCTCTTCCTTCTGCTCACTTTTGTCATCCGTTTTCTCCTGTCAAACCTCCCTGCGTAGGTCACCACCCATATGACTTCCTACAGTCATGATTTTCCTTTATGTATGCTATTATCTGGCTAATATTTGCCCTGCACACTTGCTCTTGCTTGTTTGGGCCCATTTCTGTGTCCTTGTGGGCCCGTCCTCCGGCATGAGTGAATGAATGAACAACTGGCCATCGCTTTCAAAGTGCTGCAGACCTATTTTAATTAGATGCCAACGTTAGCTTTCAAATAAATCAGATGTCACATAAAAATTCAGGTGTCTGATTTATCAAGAAAAATTTGAACATTCTATAGCTCAGGGTTTAGGCAACCTCTTGGCACCTGTTGGATGAAATGAAGAAAAACAGGACCCCGTTTAGGCAGGGGCCTGTGGCCTCTCCCTCATCCCAGCCCCTACCTCCTCATCTTTATATCATCTCACTGTCCTGGGAGCTCTGGAATTTATTCATGTAACTATTTGAAACCTGGTGGGACCCGCACATGACTTCTGTGTCCATGCATCATTCATCACTCATTTATTGAGCACCTGCCACATGGTGGCCACTGTCCTGAATGCTGCAGACACAGCAGAGAACAAGACAGATGAAATTCCTGCCTTGTGGGTTGTATTGCTCTGGGGTGGACAGGCAGTTCCTAAACAAGGAACAAATGGTGATGGAGGAGATGAGAGGTGAGGACAGGGATGGGATTGCTGCTCCAACTGCCACGTGTGGAGGGAAGGACCTGTGAGCACGTGGCATTGCAGCCAAGGTGGTGGGTGCCGTGTTGGAGCATTGCATGAGAATATCAAGGAGCAGTGAATTCGATGCCGATCAGACCACTCCCTTTCATTGGGGGCCCAGCCAGTGGTTGCTGCTTTGTTGGGTGCTTCCTGTAGGTGTGGGGCTCCGCCTCCATCCTGAAAGGTAAAGGGCATTTTCCCCATTTTATAGATACGGAAAATGAAGTTCAGGGCTGTGGCTTGACTTGCTTGTGGCCATGTAGGAAATCAGTGCCAACATCCCGATTGAACTGAGTTTTTCTGATCCCGGAGGCTGTTCCCTCTCAGTCGCTAGACCGTTCATCCATTCATTCTTTCCTCCATAGGTTCATTCAGCTGCTGTTTATATCACTTACTCACTCTGTAGAAGGTACTATACCAACTCTTGGGGCTGTGTTCTGGAGATCTAAATCGGAGGTGTGGGGGGTGGGTGGGAGAACAGAAGAAGGGCTTGGTGGCGGGGGGGGGTGTCAGTGACAAGGACAGTTACAACAGTGGCTTCCCTCTGATCAAGGGCTCTCTGCACGTCTCCTTCCAGCCCGCATTCTGTCCTTACTGCTGCCACTACAGAGAATGCTGCTCTCCCTGTGCTTGGCTCACCCCAGTACTGTAGTGGGTGCATTTGTTGAGAACCATCTGCATGCCAGGCACTGGTGTGAGGTCTTCCTAGTTGCTTGTCACCCCCATTTACACAGGAGGAAACTGGGGCATATGTAGGCTGGGGACTGAGCAAAGTCATTCTGCGTGGAAGGGCAGTAAACTCCTGCCTGTGTTTAAGGTCGGAGCTTATGCACTTGCTCTTTGAGCTTTCTGACCTCCAATCCCCCACATGGACTAGGCTGGCATCCCCCCATTGTATGCTCCCATGGCACTGGCCATGGTGAGTAACAGTTGTGATTACTTGCTTAGTATTTGTCCTGTTTTGAACTTCTTAGGGCAGGGATACTTGCCCTGTTTCTCCTTGTATCCTCTGCACTTGACTGTTGCCTGGGACAAGTGGCCTTCACTTAACATCTGTTGATGGCAGGAGAGCCTGTTTTTGTGATGCTGGGCCCAGAGAAGGGCCTCCTCAAGCAGTGCCTCTCAGACATCCTGGGGCTGGACCTGTGTTTGACATTTGCACTCTGGGTTGGGTTGCACATGGCTCTCCCAGTGGGTTGGGTAATATCAAACTCATCTAAACTGTGTTCAGCAAGACTCTGTGTGCCCATTGCGTGCTTGGTTGGTGCAGCGGTGCTGGTATCTGTAAATTCCTGAGCTCCCGCCTGGTATTCTGTACTTATGGGACAGCCCTGGTCTAGAGAGGACACTTTGGGTAGCTCCCTTGTAGATTACCCCACGTGGACCCATTCATTTCATTCTGGAGGATTAGAGAGGTGAGTGACTTAAAACTCTGGAGGAAGGTTCTGGAACCCATGCCTCTGGAGTCTCAATGTACCAAGTTGCTTCCTCTTGGAAGGGTTCTGTTCTGTGGCATCTGGGGACTAGGGTAAGTAACCATCAAAGCAGAACCTCCTTTTTACTTGCCTGAATTAGTATGCTTTTTCAGGTGCCAGCACTGAAAACCCAACCCAAAGTGGTTGAGCAAATGGAAACCTCAAAGGATTAGACTGTTTTCAGGCACATCTGGCCTCAGGGCTCTGTGTGTGGCCCTCTCCAGCTCTCTTTTTCCTTCTGGGTTGGTTTTACTCTCAGGCTGACTTGTGTTGGCAAAAGATGATTCTAGAGCAGGGCTGGGCCCAGTGTTCTGTAAAGGATCAGATCGTAAACGTTTTCGGCTTTTTGGGTCGTATATTGTCTGGTGCAGCATGTCAGCTGTGTTCCTTGAAAGCAGCCGTGGGAAATACAGGCATATCTTGTTTTATTGTGCTTCTCTATTGTGCTCTGCAGATACTGTATTTTTACAGACTCAAGGTTTCTGGTAATCCTGTGTGAGCAGGCCTGTCAGCCGCATTTTTCCAACAGTGTTTGCCCACTTGGTGTCTCTTTGTCACATTTTGGTAATTCTCGCAGCTTTTCACTTTTTCATTATTGTTGTATTTGTGGTGATCTGTGATCAGTGAACAGGACTTGCTGAAAGCTCAGATAGTGGTCAGCATTTGTTAGCCACAGTTTTGTAATTTATGTGTTGGCATTGTTTTTTAGACATAATGCTATTGCACACTTAATAGGCTCCGGTATAATGTAAACATAACTTTCATAAGCACAGGGAAACCAAAACATTCATTTGACTTGCTTTCTTGCGGTGTTCTAGAACCGAACCCACAATATCTCCAAGGTATTCCTGTATATAAATGAGCGAGCATGGGTGTATTTTGATTAAACTTTATTTGTAGACCCTGAAATGTGAATTTCATGTAATTTCTGAGTCTTACAAGGTATTCTGAGTATTCTTTTTAACCATTCAAGTGTTTTAAAAACATTTTTAGCTTTTGGGCCGTACAGAAACAGGTGGTAGGGGCTAGCTTTGGCCCAGGGGCCATAGTTTGCCACCCCCTTCCTTAAAGGACAGGGCTTACATCTTATTAGCCGAGCAAGGCTGACAGGAAGCAAGTGCCTCTTTCCCAGTAGTTGGGACAAAAGTCCCAGGACTGAGTCTCATTGGGCAGACTTGGGTCACGTGCTCCTCCCTGAACCAGTCAGAGGCTGAGTGCTTTTAGGGGTTGGTCAGTGGCAGCTACTGCTCGAGCACCAAGAGTTGGGGAGCAGAGGTGACCCACAGGAAAAGCCGTGCTGCCCCTGGAACGTGGGGCGGTGGGGTCGGGGTGGTTGGAAACCGTGGAAGCACCCTGCGGCTGTGACAACAGAAATGTCAGCAGTGCTTGTAAAAACGCGTTCTGACTTTCCAGGTGACAACATCCGGGAGTTCCTACTGAGCCTCAGATACTTCCGGATCTTCATCGCCCTGTGGAATGTCTTCATGATGTTCTGCATGATCGTGTAAGTCCAGCCTGCCTGTCCCCTTCATTGTCCTGTTCTCGGTGTTGTTCTCTAGAATGACCCACCGGAAGCTCGTCTTCTCTCTTCTCACTCTGCACTTTCATGTCACGCTTCCCGCTTGCAGGATGAGAACTCTGCCAGGCTAGAGAGGGAAGCAGGTCTACAAAGGTTAGACTGTGTCACTGTGGTCTAGGCTGGAGCTTTGATTGGAACACGGTGTTCTCCAAGTTCTCCACCTGTTCCTGGCAGAGGCTGCCAAGATATGCCCTCCCTCGAGCCCATGGCCCTGTTCACCTCTTGCCAGCTGTGCTGTCTTTAGCCTATCCTTGGTATCTGCCAAGGTGGAAAATGTGGCTTAATGGCCAGCGTGCTGCTGGGTTCTGCTCCTGCCCTGCGGATAGCCCTCAGAAGTGTCTTCAGACTCTTTTCTGTTTTCATGCCCATTTTTCATTTCCTCATTAGGCTTAAAAAAAAATCTCATTTCCTCATTAGGCTTGGTTTTCCTTCCAGTGTCAGGGCCTTAATGATGCTCATGAATCGTGAGACTCAAGAGTAAACAGGCTCAGGGAAAACGCTGTAGGAGAACCTGGTGTGTTATCATCTGGGCTAACCGTGCTGGGCTGGTCCCGTTCTTCCCCTAAAGAGGAAGAGAATAAAAAGTCTGCTCTCCTGAATAATCGTGGTGCTGAATTTGGGGTTGCTGGGTGGTCCTTGTGCCAGCCCAGTGGCTGTGTGAGGGGATGATTCCCGGACTTAGGAGTTTCACTGTGCCACTGGGAAGTGTTTTAGAGCCCAGAATGAGGACTGTGATGTGTGTCAAGAGAACCCCTTTTGGAGAGCTCGGAACGGGCCTGTGCAGGTACTGAGAGGGCTGGTGGAGTGATCAGGGAGTTTGCAGAGGAGGATATGGGCATAGCTAGGATTCACAGGAAGTAGAACAGTGTTGGTCTTTCCAGGTTCTGACCTGTCTTTTCCTTCCTTCATTTACTGATTTATAACTATCCAGTGTGGGCTGTGCCTTGAGTTGATAGCTGAGACCGAGACAGCCATCGTTGTTGCCATCAGCAAATGTACAGTATAGCAGGTGGGACAGGGACAGAAAAATAAGTAGGGAAAAATCACTGATGAGGCGAATGGGAGGATCTCAGTTTAGGTGATGGTCAGGATGTGAAGGCTCACAGAGAAGTGCTATGTAAATCAAAACCTAAAGAACAGGAGGAAGCCTTGCCATTTGCAGAGCTGAAGAGAGGCATGATAGCATGTGTAGAGGTCCTGGGGCAGGGAAGAACTCCTGTGTTTTCATCCTTCTTTTCTGTCCATCTACTTCATTCATCCTCTCACCAGCCTAGCTTCCTTTATGGCTCACCTGTTGGCCTGTTACTGAGACGGTCGCGTTAGGCTCTGTGACCTCCTAGCTCAGCTCAAGGCTATCTTTGTTTGTAGCCTGGTGTTCTGATTTCGCTTCCTGGGAGCAGAGCCTGCTTGACTTAGCTAGGTGTGACCTAGGTCCAGTTAGATGGGGGTTATCCCGAATCCAGCATAATCCCTGAGGTCGAGTCAGCAAGGTACAGCCTGTGGGCCATATTTAACTGTTTCTTGTTTTCATGCATGAAGTTTGGCACACCCATTTCTGTGACTGCATTTGTACTACGGCAGAGGGGTTGAAGCCCTGAGACAAAACTGCTGGGCGTGTAAAGCTCAGACTACTTACTGTGTGGCTTTTTTGTCAATACCTGACCTGGGCCATCCTTTTCAGTAGGTGCCGCGAGTGAGGGAAGATCTCATCAGAAAAGGCTCTGTCAGGGAGGCCGTGACTGGCTTTCCCAGGATATTAAAAAAAATCTGGAAATCACCTAAATGTCCAAGAACAGGGGAAAAGTCGGGTAACTCAAACGGACGCCCACACGAGCAGCTGTCGCAATCCATCACTGACGACGTGCTGCAGGTTCTGTCTGCACAGGGGAATGTTTCGAAAGCAAAAAAGGCTGGAGGTCGCTCACATATGCCCTCCGGCCCCGGCTGTGATGTGCATGCAGTAAACACTGAATAAATGCCCGAAGTCTGTGGAGAAAACATCCAGAGGGCCCCTGGGTGGCTCAGTGGGTTAAGCCTTTGCCTTTGGCTCAGGTTATGATCCCAGGGTCCTGGGGTCAAGCCCCACATCAGGCTTTCTGCTCAGCAGGGAGCCTGCTTCCCCCACTCTTTCTGCCTGGCTCTCTGCCTACTTGTGATCTCTGTCAAATGAATAAATAAAATCTTAAAACAACAACAACAACAACAACAAAACCCAAAAAACAAAAAAAAGACTTCCAGCCAGGGAGTTGGAAGGATCTGCTCCAGGCTGTCCACAGAGGTGACCCTGTTTGGATCACTGAGGGAGATTCACGGGGCCCAAGGGGATGGTTTGCAGTTCCCCCTACACCCACTTTCATGTTGCTTGACTGAGCTACTTGGGAAATTTTTAAAAAGCCGCAAAAAACTTGAAACGTGGAGAGAAACATGCCCGAGTGTTTAGGAACTGAGTATAGATACCTGCACGTTAACAATGGAATATATCAAAAATAAGGTAGCTGGATAAATGGATAGGTACACTGTAAGGCAAAGTTATTTATTATTATTTATTTATTTGAGAGAGTGTGTGCAGTGGGAGGAGCAGAGGCAGAAACTGAGCAGTGAGTCTGATGCAGGACTCTATCCCAGGTTCATGACCTGAGCTGAAGGCAGACGCCTAACAGACTGAGCCACCCAGGCATCCCAAGCACAGTTTTTTGTTGTTTTTAATTTGAGAGAGAGAGAGAAAAGAGAGAGCATGCCCACGGGGAGGAGCAGACAGAAAGGGAGAGAAAATCCCAAGCAGATTCCCTGCTGAGCCTGGAACTTGATGTGGGGCTCAATCCCACCACCCTGATATCATGACCTGAGCCAAAATCAAGAGTCGGAGGTCCAACTGACTGAGCCACCTGGGCGCCCATGTAAAGCAAAGTGTTAATTACAGAATGGAGGTGTATATGCGGGGGTTCACGGAACTGCTCTTGTAACTCTTTTATATGTAAAAATCTTTGTAATAAAATACTGGGTGGGAAGACACGGAGAAGATGAGGGTGTCAAATCACAGAGCAGGATTAATAAGTAAAAGTAGAAGTCAGTCTTCACAGTTAAGTATTTTGTAATATATTCCCAGGGTTGTGAAACCATCCACAATGCAATTCTAGAACATTTTCATCACCCCAAAGGAAAACCTTATATCCATTAAGCAATGACTGCCTCTTCTTCCCACCAGCCTTTGGGAGCCACTTACCTACTTTCTGTCATTATGGATTTGCTAGTTCTGGGTATTTCCCGTAAACGGAATCGTAATGATATATGGCCCCGTTTGTGTCTGGCTTCTTTCGTGCAGCGTGATGTCTTAAAGGTTACAGCGTGTTGTAGCGTGTATCAGCACTGCATTCCTTTCTGTGCCTGAAGAATAGGCCATTGTGTGTCTGTGCCACAGCCTTTTTATCTGCTCATCAGTTGATGGATATCTGGAATGTTTCCACTTTTTGACTGTTGATGAACACTGTTGACACAGACGCTGGTGTTCAAGTTTTTGTGTAGACAGACTTAAGTTTTCGGTCCTCTCTGGTACATAACCAGGAGTGAAATTGCTGGGTTGTATGGTTACTATATTTATCTGTTTGAGGTTCTGCCAGACTATTTTTTAAAAGTAGCTGCTGTAATTTGCATTCCCACCAGTATTGTGTGATGGTTCCAATTTCCCCCACATCCTTGCCAACACTTGTTATTGTCAGTCTTTTTCATTAGAGCCATCCTAGGGGATGTGCAGGTTGGGTAGCATTTCCCCAGTGGTTAATGACATTGAGTCTCTCTCTTCATGTACTTATTGGTCATTTGTATGTCTTCTTTAGAAAAATGTCTGTTTAGGTCCTTTGTCTTTTTTTTTTTTAACTGGATTATAACTGAGTTATAAGAGTTCTTTTTATATTCTAGAAACCAATCCCTTATCAGATACATGATTTGCAAATATTTTCTCCTATTCTCTGGGTTGTCTTTTCACTTTCTTGGTGGTGTCCTTTAAAGCACAAAAAAACCTTAATTTTGATAAAGTCCATTCTGTCTATTTCTCCTTTTGTCACCTGCACTTTTTGGTATGGTAGCTAAAAATCATTGCCCAACCCATGGTCGTGAAGATTTGGGCCTAAGTTTTCTTGTAAGAGTTCTATAGTTTTAATTTTAATAGTTAGGTCTGTGATCAACTTTGAGGTTATTTTTGCATATGGTGTGAGATAGGGAACCAACTTCATTCTTTTGCATGTGGCGGTCCTGCACAATCTGTTGTTCTTTTTTCAAAAAGCCTTTTTATCTTGGAAAGAGTTTTTTTTTTTTTTTTTTTTAAAGATTTTATTTATTTGACAGAGATCACAAGTAGGCAGAGAGGCAGGCAGAGAGAGAGAGGGGAGGAAGCAGGCTCCCTGCTGAGGAGAGAGCCCGATGCGGGGCTCGATCCCAGGACCCTGGGATCATGACCTGAGCTGAAGGCAGAGGCTTTAACCCACTGAGCCACCCAGGCGCCCCAAAATGGTACATTTTAAAAAGAATAAAAGCTATTTAAGAAAGTACTTCATCAGAATCTGTAACATTTTATTTTAGCCCATTCTTTATTACTACAAGTCGATGATGACTTTCACAATTTGAAAAAAAAGATTATTTTTTCTGAGTGAACAGATGATTACAGTTAACTCTGGTCATTGACGAAAATCTGAATGGGAAAGGCCTGGAAACTATATAAATGCCCATGAAATTGAGAATGGGTCTGTTAAGTTATGACAGAGGTCTCCAGGGGAAGACCACAGAGCTATTAAAAAGATATATATATGGGAACTCTGTTATCTTTGCAACATTTCTATAAATCTAAACTCTTTCGGGGCGCCTGGGTGGCTCAGTGGGTTAAGCCTCTGCCTTCGGCTCAGGTCATGATCTGGGATCGAGCCCTGCATCGGGCTCTCTGCTCAGCAGGGAGCCTGCTTCCCCCTCTCTCTCTGCTTGCCTCTCTGCCTACCTGTGATCTCTTTCTCTCTCTCTGTGAAATAAATAAATAAAATCTTTAAAATAAAATAAAATAAAATGTACCATCTTGGGGGCACCCGTGTGGCTCAGTCAGTTAAGCATCTGACTCTTGCTATCAGCTCAGGTCTTGATCTCAAGGTCATGAGTTCAAGCCCTGCTTTATAAATAAGATAAAATATACCGTTCAGTAGTGTTAAGTATATTTGTGTTGTGTAACAGAAGAGTTATTTATAGAGTCATAAGTAATATAAAATAATCTTAATAACAGTAACAAAATATTTTCTGAAAATGTTTTCTGAGTTATAGCTTTACATCCTTCCCATCCTCACGGACATCTCTGCCCTCTGACTTTTCCAGGCTCTTTGGCTCCTGAGCCCCAGACACACACCTTCCTGGGAACCAGGAACCACCTTCCCAGATGCTGAGTCTCCCTTCCTCCGTTCCTGACAACTTCAAGAATGGTTTTGACCGGAAAACCAGCGACCTTCCCAGAAAGCCCAAGTTCGTGGTGGGTGGAAAAAAATGTTCGCCAAGCTGCATACGGCTTCCCAGCCACGTCCTTGTTTTCTTTTCAAAGATATTTTCACTTTGGTTTCTGCGTTGAAATGCTGTCTACTTAAAGAGTTTTAGGAGGGTTTATGGAAGGGGATGTGATAACATTGCATTCCCCACAGATAAAAGAACGTTGTGTAGATTGCTTTTTTAGATCGAATTTCTCATCTAGCAAGCTTTTACTAGAAACTCATTTCTGGATGTTTCTTAGTTTATTTTTTAATAACCCTCCTTTTTTGGTTCAAATTATATAGATTTTTCAAAATAATTTTTTATCCAGGGATCTGAAACAGAAGGGTTGGCTTTTAAGATTGATGCAGCCTCTTTACTGGACTGTGTTTAGGAATAACAAGCAAGTTCATTGTTGCTGGGCTTGTGTCCAAATTCCTTTCCTGTCTCAATGGGCTCTGCTTGGCCACTCAGTGCCTCTGAGGTCATGCCCAGGACTTTAAGGGTGAAGCCTTACTGATTACTGTGGAAGAGAGGTACGGAACAGTTGGCAGGGGCAGATGTGGGTGTTAGGAGAAATTTTGCCCTGCCTTGCAGCCCTCTGTTAAAGTAACCTGTGGGGCCATTAAATGTATAGTTTTTAAGAATGAATGACTTACATGATGATAATCAGTTCCAGGTCTGAAATCTTGAAATTTTGGGTCTTCTTTTCAAGTGAGTGATTTCAAGGTTGAAAAGCAGTGAGGAAATACAGCATTTTGCATAGAATCTCCTTTGGAAGGCAGGTCCTTTTTTGCCAGAATGAAATGCCGGTTGTCAACACCCAGATCCTGTTGGTGTCTGATCTGTTGGTTGTGGGTTTTGAATTCCTGATTTGGAGGTAAACCTGGTGGGAGGAGAAACTAAATATGCAGACTTTTCAGAACTAAGTAGCGCTGGAAATAAAGCTCATTTCCAAAAAGGATCTTTTGTTTATACATTTTTTTAACCAAGAACTTCCACCTGGCGTTGTTTCGAATTACACTGTGGAAAACACCGAGGAGTCATTTTGGAGGCTGTCAGAAAGTCAGAAGAGAGGCAATGTTCGATTTCCCATTTTGGATTTTCCTTAATACTTATGTCAGGCCAGAATGGGGCAAATGGGCTTTGGACCTGGCTGCTTTGGGGAGTGTTGAAAGAGTCAGGGAAAAACAGTGGGGTTTTGCGAGACCAGGGCCAAATCTACTTTTACGGCTGCTCAGCTGATGTCCTTCTCCTCCACTGCTTCTGTAATTTATTCCCTTGTCAAACCCAGGCGTGTGGTTTCTCAGTAGCCCTGAACGTAGCTGCTGAATCGAGCTTCGCGCAGGCCTGTGTCCTTGTCAGCAAGAACAGATGTGCCGAGATCTTGGCTGGTCACTCCTCAGGTCGTGTCAGTGGTGCGAGGAAACCTCACTGCCTTATTCAGCCTGGTGCTGAGGTTTCAGTGAGGCGAGACATTCGTATGTTACAGGGATGAATCATTCTCTGAGAAGAGAATGCTGTCATTGAGAATTTGTTTCAATAGTTGTATTTTTTCCCAGAGAACTGTTATCTCATTGTTAAGCCCTCTGCAAGCAGTGTGGCTTTGGAGGCTGCTGTCCGTTTTAAAAGTTGCATCTCACGGACGTGCACCTTTAGGAAGCTTTTTGAGAACTCTTGTTAACATCAAAGGTTTTCGACGTTTGAGTTTCGGGTACCAAGGGTTCCCCAGCATTTAAGTGCTCACATTCTGGGCCAGTTAGTTGTGGGTTCAAGTCCCATCTCTGCTCCTTGCCAGTGGGACCTTGGCTGCCTGCTTCCCCATTCTCTGCCTCAGTTTCCAATCTCCAAAGTGGGTCTGGAAGTCCCACCTGCCTGGGGTTGTTGTGAGGTTCAGCACGCTCAGATGTGGGCTGAGTGGTTGACCAAGTGTGCCTGGCACCCAGGAAGCGCTCAAAACCTGGGTGTCCTCCCTGCCTGCCTCTTCGGTACTCCGCCTGTGTTCATGCGCAGAGTCTGCACACATGCTGTGAAAGAGAGATGGCATCATTTAAAAACTATAGAAATAGTTTTCCAACATGGAAAACCTTTTCTCGCCTTCCTCTTTCCTTTCCAGCATTTTCCTTATCTGTATCGGTAAATGGGCATACCTTAAAGATACTACGGGTTTGGGTCCAGACCACCCCAATCAAGCGAATATTGCAATAAGGCAAGTTAAATGTGTGTTTTGGCTTCCCGGTGCATATAAAAGTTATGTTTACACTGCCTCGTGGAGGTGGACCATAGCCTCACGTCTGAAAAACTGGCGTGTGTGCCTTGATTAAAAAATACTTTATTGCTGTCAAATGCTTAGTGGTCATCTGACTGATCAGACGTGAGTCAGAATCACTGATCACAGATCACTAAAGCAAATACAGTAATAATGAAGAAGTCTGAAATATGGTGAGAATTACCAAAATGTGACTGAGGGACACGAGGCGATCAGACGGTGTTGGGAAAATGGCGGCAGGAGACTGGTTGCTGCGAACCTTGGGTTTGTCAAAAACTCGAGGTCTGCCTGGCTGTGACATAGTTTGATCGTGGTTAAGACAGCTTAGTTTCTACTGTGTTCATTTTGGCATCGTTTCCTTCATATCTTCTGGCCTGCCAGACAGGCTTCATGATTCTGGGTTTTAATTTCTGCGCGGTGTCCGTAGAGCTCTCTTTAACCGTGGCCCTCTTGCTGGTCCTTTCCTGTGTGCTTTGAACTTGTACTTTGCCCACAGTTATCAATGCCCCTGCATCCCCATTGTTGTGACCTTTGTTGGCACCCTTCATGGCTGCTTCTGCAGTTCCTAGGAAGGCCACGTTGGTATGTGCCGCCATTGTAGCTTTAGTGGTTTTTGTTTTGTTTTCAAGTTTCTTACTATCCGTGCATGTTCATTATAGAAAAATTATACAGCTTTGCCCTAAGGGATAGAGCCACCAATAGTCACCTTCCCTCAGAGAGCATCACTCAAGGTACAGACACATCCTTCTGGCTCTTTCTCTGTGCGTGTGCACTAAGTATGGTGCACGTGTTTTCATTATGTAAATTGTCTTTGTGCCTTCTAGCCTGCTTTTCTTATCTGAGAAAAAATTTCTGTATTTTTCCCTACAATTACCGTTCTTAATAACATTATAATGATGTGCCATGATTAACTCCTCCCCAGGTGATGGAGACTTGCGTTGTCTCCAGTGTTTGTCTATTATAAATAACACTGTGATGAACATCGCAGTATGTCATCCCTAATGAATTTTTGTAGTCACATTTTTTTTTTAAGATTTTATTTATTTATTTGCGAGGGAGACCATGTGCGCACAAATGTGGCAAGGGGCAGAGGGAGAGTGAGAAGCAAACTCCCCATTGAGCATGGAGCCCCGACGCAGGGCTTGGTCCCAGGGCCCAAGATTAACAATGTGAGCCCAAGTCAGATGCTTAACCAGCTGAGCCACCCAGGCTCCCCTTGGGGTCACTTTTATTTATTTTTTTAAATTAATTAAAAAAATTTTTTTATAAACATAATATGTATTTTTATCCCCAGGGGTACAGGTCTATGAATCACCAGGTTTATACATTTCACAGCACTCACCATAGCACATACACTCCCCGATGTCCATTGGGGGTCACTTTTAAAAAGAGATTCATCTTGACAGCTTTGGGCTAAGGATCCCAAAGAAAAATGCATCTGGATGACTTGCATCTGTGTTCATTTGTTCATGCGCATATGTGTTCATGTGTACAAGAACTGGGCTCTAGATCCCCATCAGCTTTGACCGGGAGTGGTTATTAGGCTATTTCGGTTTGCTTAACCTTTTAGTAAGGATGAGAATTCCAGGCTCCACCCAGATAACTGTTTTGTTCTGTAAGTGACTGCAGTTGACGTCATGCCAGCTGGCTTTCCCTTGGTCCTAATGGTTAGGGACCTCAACCACCGTCTAAGTACTAAATGCCTGCATGCCCTGGAGCGTGTTACATGGAGTCGCTGCCAAGGTGAGAAGCTGCACGTTGAGAATGAACACAAGGCCACAGTTTGCAGTACCTGCCCTTTGGGATTCATGTTAGAAATCCCCTTTTGCTTTCTTCCCCTTGGCATCTCGAGAGGTGGAACATGTCCCCCCTTTGGTGGGTTTCTCATTGCACTTCAGTTCCAGCTATTCTAGAGCAGAAGTCGGAAACTATGGTTCCCAGGCAGAGCCTGGCCTGCCACCTGTTTTTGTAAATAAAGTTTTATTGGCATCCAGCCATGCCCGTTCAAATACGTATTGTCTAAGCCTGCTTTAGTTGCATTCCTGCTACAGTGGCAGTGTTGTGACAGAGACCATCTGGCCCACCAAGCTGAAAATGTCTTTCTGGCCCATATATGTGATGCATTTGCTGACCGCTGAGCTAGGGGGTGATAGAGAATCTCGAGGGGCCCTTTCCCCGCAAAGGCACTCAAGTGAAGTCATTGGCACACCTTGTCTAGATTTTAATAAACACATTCGAATTTGCTGAAAATCAAGCCAGCTATTTTCAAGCGTGAGCTTAACAGACCAAAACGTAATTTTATTTCTCTTGATAGTTAGGGGAGAGATCTCTTCTGGGCTCCCTGTGATTCTCCTGAGTGGGAGTTCCTCTGCGCCGACAGCACAGTGTGATAATCAGATCGGCTCTCCTCTGAAGTGGTTGGATTTGAAAAGCCAGCGTGGCTGTCATTAGTGAGGCATTTTCTTTTCATTTCAACTGTTTCATTATCTCCTTCTTAACCACATTTGTGTTTATGAAATATTTGACAAACCTCCCGATGTTTTCCCATGTTGATGAAAGACGTACGCTGTTTGTGTATAAAGCAAAAGGCCTGGTCTTTTTAAAAGGAAGATGTAAATTCTACTTGGGTATTTGTTTTCATCATTCCCTTGATTTCCATTATGGCAGGGAGAAAAGTACTTGATCTGCTTTGAGCCCCTCTCTGAGAGTTGCTGGAAATGAGACTTTGGTAATAGTGAGCATTCCTGCATGGGAAATTGGGTGGAGGAATTTAGAGCAAGTTAGAAATGCAAAGTCCATGTTTTTCAATAAGAAAACAGCAAGAACTAGTTCAGAGTA